GAATCAATTCATCGTTCATCACTGAACTGTGTTTAAACCTCATTACACTTCTCTCAGAGTGATTGGGCGCGGCATCTCTGTAGATATTGATTTGGTCATTTGAAGTGACAAATCAATCACTCATCTTAAGAAACCAATTGCTAAGCTAAAGACGCGACAATATTTTGATAAAGAGCATATTCTATCAGGTATCCTCTGTAGTCTCTCCCGCAGCTGATCATTGGAATGTTATGCAACAGCTGCCATTTTTTATTTTTACAGCAGCGGAAGCCTGGAGAGAAATTTTTACCATGAGGGTGAGCGAAATTCAAAAGGAAGGAGACGGGTGGAGGTGGGATAATAGAAAATAAAAAGTCTTCCCGCTTTCCTTGCCCCCTCCCCCTACTGTACACTCTAACTCTAACTCAAACATAGCCGGCATCGCCCAGAATGCTATTGTCTTTCGCCACATGTACTTACAGTGTCCAGTTTTTTAATACGCGGCATAATAATTTGCATATCCAGAACTAGTCAGCTATGATTGGTCAACAGATTTTACTTTGGGAATACTCGAGTCTCTTTGGAAATTTTAACTCCTGTCAATCAAACTGTTGGATGTGTCAACTGAAATCCCAAGATGCGATAATGTTAACAATAGCGTCTAATTAAAGGCGGGCCGCGCTCTTTGCAAATCACTTAAATGGTCACTGAAATTCGTGTGCAGCGATATATTTTAATTTTACACTATAGACCGTCGTCAAAACGTTATCTGCGTGAGCTGAAATAGTTTTCTATATAGAATAAGGAGTTCTAAATGTGTTGCTCGGATAACGAGCGCGATGCGGACGTTAATCGCTCGTTTTTCACATACTTTGCTGATGTTTAAGTTGACTCGATGGATTTCGAATAGTCCGAAATATTTTTATTCCGCTGAGGCACTTTAAAAACATTGCAAGAGCAAGCCTGATGCGCGGGTCACTCACTCGCACTTCACAATTTCGCTCTTATACACTGCGACAGGTAAACGCAGTTCAGATCCAGAGTTTTCCGAGTTTTAAAACAATGTAATGTTTTTTTTTTGTAGCCTAGGGAAGAGTGAAGTAAATGTATAATTCAGCTCTTTGAAGTCGAAACCACAAAATTAAATACTTAAAAAGGAGAAAAGGGGTTAATTCTGAAGAAACTGTGGTGCTGCGTCGGTGGGGAAGTGGACTGATTTGAAGTTGATAAATTTTAGGTAAAGTGGCCGCTACGGATCAACCATTCATCATGGAGAATCGAAAAAGGAGATATTAACTTTGTTGAACCCTTTTGGAATAACTAAAATTGCATCATCTTCAACTTCAATTCTCAGCTTCTTACATTCTTCTGCCAGCTCCTCTTTCCCTTTCTTTAGCTCCTCGATGATGCCCTGGAGACTTTGGAAAATCTCGTCCGGGTGAAGAGCAATCTTAGCCCAATACTGGCTTCGGAAGTTTTTGCGCTTCTCGCCATTTGTTTCCGAGGTGGCTCTCTTCATTACGTGGTAAACTCTTCCTTCCACCGCAGTCCCAACACGCACTTCGCTCAACGAGTTCAGTTTATAACCGATGGAGGCTAAACCATCTTGAAGGGCATGGAAGATTCTAGTCAAGTCCATTTTAAATTCCCGCCATTTCCAATAGATAGAATAGTGGATCGTAGCCATTTACTAAAAGTGTAGACATGTGAATGAAGGCAGGGTTGATCGGGGATTCTGTGAGCTCTAAAGAGAGCTCCCGATGAACGCGCTGCATTTCTTGCACGGAAAATATTTCGATATCTGGACGGTATGAAGCACAATTGTGTTCTAATGATACGGTGTGTCAACAGAGATGTCTATAACTCTTTTCAATTTAAATTTGGCGCACTCATGTCACACAGCTTCTTGATAATGCTTCATTAGGCGAAAGTGCGTCATATTGTCTACAGAGGCGGGAAAAAAACTCTCTTGGGAGTCTAAAGAGAACAACTTTCAAGGGCTTTTAGGACATTTCGGTGTAGCTTTCGGAGATGATCCTTTTCATGACACTTGTGGCCATCGTATTAACGCGAAATTCCGCCAAATCTTAGTTGATATATCAAACTTACTTACCAAGGGGTACCTAAGTCACAAAGTACTTTTGTGGAGAAAAAAATCAACCTGAATACTAATCAGTTCATATTAGGCATTGGGCCGTTTTCGGCCATTTTCTTTATTGTTTCGCGTGTTTTCAATTACGAGAATTCAAATTTAGTGCTATTGCCGACGCAAAAGGTTCCGATGTGTCGCAGCATTCTGGGCGATGTCGAATAAACGAACACGAGCTTGTAAAGTCACTGGCTCAGATAAGAAACCTGCACTACAAGTTAGTGAAACCCCTCATTGATTCCTAAAAGCCCTTTTAAGGCTTAAAAATGGGTATAATTTTATCCTGTGTTCTTATTGAATAAGTTTACGTAAAATTATCACTAAGGGGCGTGTTGACACATGACATATTGAAGAAGGTAAATGTAAAGGTGAAAGTCAAGGGAAGTCAGAAGCTCCTCTAGCCCCATAGCAATGGAGTTTTGTTTCTCAAATTGGCATCAACGATCCTTCAACCTCATCCTTATTAGTCTTTCTTTCACCTTTAACATTTTTTAGTGTCAGGAGCCCAGGGGTGTTGGGAGAATTCCCTGAACTGATGAAGTCAGTTTTCCAGGGATTTTGGCTTGGTTTGTCACCCAGGTTGTCTTTTCTGATGCAGATCTTTGTAAGACTGTCAATGATAGATTCATTTTCAGAGAATTTATCACAAAGCCCAGATATCCCATGGAATACGAAGGATTTAATACATTTATTACAAATCTAAATCGCCGTGGAAACCACTTCTTCTCCGTCTTCTCGGGGCCGGATTGAGCACAATTATGTCTTTTAGTAAACCACGACTAGCTTTAGCAGCCTTTCGATTCAAATAGGGGCTAGAGCCAAGCCAACTGAACTGATACCGTTTGCTTTTTTAACATTAATTTTAAATGGCTCTCGCTTTTGAAGAGATTTGTTAACTTTATAATTTCTTTCCCTTTTTCTTGCTGCTGTTCTGCCAAGACAATGGGTAGAAACGCGTTGGTGATGTAAACATTGTAATGTCATAATATGGGTAATTATATCCGATACCCTTCGATGAAATTGTCATATCGCTGATGTCATGAAAAAGACCAATTAGCCTGCTTATTTAAGCAAAGACCTGGAGCGAGTTCAGAGACGTACTTTTTCCAAAATTTCTCGTGGCTTTTCGTATCATCACATCATATTCATAGCATTGTAGAACATCAGATCTTTGAAAGAAAGGCGCAAAGAACACTGTGATAGACTCTGACGCAATCGTATCTAATACTGCACATACACTTCATCATCTGCTGCACCCAAGAACATTAGCAGAAACAGTTTTAGAAAATGTTTACATTGCCAAAATTGCGCACTAATCGTTAAACGAACTCATTTTTTCATTCATGTCCAATCGGTAAAACTTTTCTGCGAAGTTCTTTTTCTATACAATTATTTTACATTACATGAAATTGTTATTTTATAATTGTGTGAACTTAACCTTTTTGGAAATTTCATGCAATTCAGCCTCAGGAGGCTACGAATTTTAATATTTTAATAAACTATCTATCTATCTATCTATCTATCTACAACTTCATTGCGATTTTCGTCAAATGAAGCACTCGTCACCTCTTTTAAATCAATCTCCGAAAATGAAAGTTTCGAATAACTGAAATGGCAATAAGAATTACTTGAATTGAACAAAATTTGTTGAGATAGGATCTAAATGAGATGCCTTACCAAAAGTGTAAATATTGAGAGCTTTCGTCTCCTCAGTTAAATTCTCCGACAATTAAAAGAAGGTTTAAATAACTTAAATAAAAATAGGAATTTCTTGGACGAAATTAATCGAGATGGTTCGCGACTAAATTTTTATTAAATTATTGAAACGATAGACAACGTCGTGTGGATGAAGCTTACTAATTTGGAGCGATTTCTCAAAACTAATTCGCGGCAACATTTCCTCATATCAATCGAAAAACTCATGTTGAAAGCATCACAAGTGATACAACCGCGCTTAATACTCCTGGTCAATTTCAGTATCTGAGCACCTACCCCCTCCCTTACTCAACAACAGTCGACTGATGACAGGTTAGAGTTAATGTTTGGTTAGGGGAGGGGTAGGTGAACAATACCTCAGATACTGACCCAAGGTTTCTGATACACCAAGTTCGATAAAACAGTTACCAAAGCAATATAAATTTGAAAAAGAAAGAATTCCGTCAATCAAGTTTCTAATAACTATTACCACAAGTGTAGCAATTGCCGAATGGTTCGATGTTCTTAATGGTTATGGAAACGAGTGGGGTCCAGTTTGGCCTGAAATCATTAAGGGTATCAACATGGATGGAACAAATTTCCGAAGACGACATGGGTTTCATACATATGATGATAATTTAACAACCACAGGAAAAATCCTTGCGTGCGCTGTTTTCAGATACTGATTGACATTTTTTAAACAAGTCACTGGTCGGCCGAGTGGTAACTGAAACGAAAAAGTACTTGAGTATTTTTCACGTACAGTAGTGAGTGCTCAATTTGCATAAATGAAACGGTCCGAGGTCCATTCAAAATTTTTTTGAAATCTCTTGAACATCTTGAACATAAGAGCGCCATAGTCTAACGCAATTAGTCTGTGATTGCAAATAGCTATGCACACACTTATGAGTAAGCTGAAAAACCCCCATTAAGTTTTCTGGTATGGTGGAAGATTAAAGAGGTCTGGATGTTTTCATTACATGGTGATCATATTCAAAACTTATCGCCAGGTGTGAAATCATATGGGGGAAATCATATGGGGGAATCAAGTTTGGCTCTTCCCTTCCCTTTTGAAAGATATAGATGCATTACGTTGCTTCAGCAACATTACTTAAACGACAACGAAAAAAAATCAAATATCGATTTGATTTTTTTGATTTGCAGAACACAGACCTTATAGGAGAGGATAATTTTTAATTTTGTTCTTCCAGATAATGATGTTGACGAAGATTATCATCCGTTCAATAAAACGACTTCTTTCGAAAAAGCACAAACACTCAATCGCTTAAGCAAAGCCAACTGTCATAATATGGATTGAAAACTAGCAAACAATGGTTACACCAAAACTTTCGTTAATTAGTCGAACCTTGAAAATTAGTCACAAATTCTTGAGACTTTGTAAACCTGTACAATTAATCTGCAGGTAACGATCAGACCACTAAATTTTGAATTTGTAAATTTATGGCCTTGATTGAAGAAGTCACAAAGTTGTTTTGAGGAGTACTGGCATGTGTCCTTTTGACATTTCTTTAATTTCAAGGAATTCCCGAATGCGTTCTGTTGTGTACCGTGTTACGTCGGTGCCGCATTCAATAAGTAGAATGGCACATTTGAAATGAGCTTTTTTGAGTGCCGAATGAATGGGTGGAAAGCCATCTTGGTCTAAGATATTCACCATGGCGCCATATTGGATGAGTGTATGAATGCTTTCAAGATCTCCGGCGACTGCTGCCTTGTGCAATAACGAGCGACCACTTGGACTCAGCTGATTGACATCTATTCTCTCCCTTTCGATGACTTCTTTCACTTCAGCGGCTGAATTCTCACCAATCGCGCTAAGGAGCATGGCTGAAGGGGAAAAGCTGATTTTTCGGTCTCGCTGCTTACTTTCAGAGGTTTGATCTCCGATTTTTCCTACTGGGTGGAATCGATTGTTATTAGCATCGCTTCGAGTTTTGTTATCGTGGGAAGATTTTGATTCCAATGTGCCAAAAAAGTGTTTTCGAAGCCTTAAGATAACTCTCACCAACATTGGCACGTTTCTGTTTTCTTTCTTTTGAAGACGACCATGGAAAATGTCCATCTCTCCTTGCTCTTCATCTAGAAAGTATTTCACCTGAGGCTTTTTGTACAGAGCTGCAGACTCTCTGCGCGCCTTCAAGACACAAATAGAAATAGCTTTCAATTCCTCCCTGAAGTCTTCAGCCGAAGGTATTCCTGTTTGACACTCGCACTGATACAAACATCCACAGACACTGTCATTCATAGAGAGCTCGCTTGTGTCCAAACTTGAGGTTGGTGATGAAACTCTAACTTGGCCAAGTGTGAATTCTTTTGATGGAGAAATATCCTGTACGAGTTGTTCATGGAGAGATGGAGCACGAACAGAACGCGGTAACGGAGAGAGCCTGAAACCGCGCACACAGGGCTCACTGTCTGATGAAGAGTCACTATCTCTTTGGTATGATCTGGTGGAAGATAACTGTTTTATGGTGCTCAAGGAATGTTGAGGCTTTCGAGCAATTATTTTCATTTTATCATATTCACGTTCACGAGAGGCCGAGTTATTGCGGATTTTCCAGGGGTAGACTCCTTCGTTGGTGGAACTGACACTTGTAATAGAAGAGAAACAGCTGTCTGATTCAGACACATCGTTGATTGCGGTGTGGTTTTTGGATGACGTTTGGTTAACCGAAATTGGATCTAGTGCTGAGTCAAAAAACACGTCGTCACTTAAAACTGATATTAGCGGCTCAGAAAATCTGCTTTCTGTATCAAAACGATCTTTTGATTGTGTTCCATCAACATATGACTTTCCGTCTGTCTGGAAGTGGTTCTGGGGAAACATGTGTCCTAAATGCGCGCGTGGTCCTGGCGCTAGATTACGAACACGTTCTTTAACAACTTGTTCATAACTAGGGGGTAATGGGTACATGTTAGTCTTTGCTTCGTGCTCAGCGGTCCTATTAATGTTATCAGTGTTAATTGAATTGTAATCATTGCTACATCCGACAATGCAATAAGCTTGATCATCAAACTGTGAAATATGGCCATCAACCTCTTGCTGTAAGGGCTTTGTTCTGTTTACTCGATTCAGCGCCTCCCTTGAAGTGTCGCCGTAGTTGTTGACACTTCTCGGAATGTCTTGGATGTGTGTATTACTTCTTGTGCTTTCGTTTTGTTTATCGGCTCCATTGTTTGTTGAATGAGTCTCAGCGTCAAATTGTTTTCGAGCACAATAAGAATGCTCGTGTCTTTGTTCATCTTGAGGGCCACCTATTTGCATTTCAATCAACTTATTACTCGCAGTAGCGTCGCAATTAAATTCGTTCTGTTGAAGTCGGCGGTTTCCGAACGGAAATGGCTCCACTTGTCGAGGTAAATAAACATCCATTTCGAACTTTTTGTTCTTCACAGGCAGAGAATAAACTGCCATCGCTTGCTTCCTGTCCGGATCAACGTTCTCCGATGATGACTGTCCAAATCCTTCGACGCAATTTGCATTTGATGTGTCAAGATTGTTTTGAGAAAACAAAGAAGCTCGTCCTACAACGTCAACAAAATCGCAATTTTTATGGTCAACCTCAGATGACTCTGGATCAATGTAAATCACGTTATAAGAAGGTTTACTTTCCTTTTCCGAGTTGCGAGCATCGATTTCAGTTGTAAAATCAATTGAGCTTTGTTTGTAATTCGCTTTGTCAGTTGACTCTGAAGGGTGATGGTAAATCTGATCAAATGTTATCTCATTGAAAGAATAACTTGATTGAGTTGTTGATTCTTTGAACAAAGGCCTCAATAGCTCCACTTCAGCCCTCTTCTCCTCGATTTCGTCAGCTGAAAAATTGCTCTTAAATTTCGCTGAATTGTGAAATTGTAGAGTATTCTGTTCGTCAACATTTTGTTTTGAGTCCCTATGATTAGAGCTAACAACTTGAGGTAACCCTTGGGCCGTTGCTATGCCAATCGTAAGGCCATATTTACAGCTTGAATTCCGTGTACTGAAGTTGCCATTTGATAAGGTTGAGTTTTCCTCCTCATCGTGGTCAGTGTCAAAAGCGCCCCCTACATTACTTTTGTCTTCAAATTGATCGTCGGCAATGCAATGTGATCCTCTTGAGCTAAGTAAACAATTTCCTGAAGGAATTATCTCTGAAACACGTACATTCCACTGAGTACACATTTGTTTTTCGCTTTTATCAAATCTGCTTTGACTTGGTGGCGTTGTTACCTGATTTGCAAACGATTTTGGGGTATCACAAACATTCAAATCCTTCGCATTTACATCTAGCTTTTCCTTTGAGGCGCCGTCTTTGTCACCGTTCAGCGCATCGTCAGAGGTGGTATATTTACTAGCATTGTCATCCATTTCTGACCATCTGAAAGTTTGTTTTTCCGTTGAAATTGAACAAGAGTCATTGTCTTTGTAGCTGCCGACGGGTATAATAAGATACGAAGTGCTGCGTTCGGGTTCATTTTCTGAAACCGCACAGTATGTACCATCTAGGTGAGAGCTGTTATGTTCATCGTCGCTGGACACCGCTTCGGAACAACTTGAACCGGACAAATTTCTCCGCTCAAATTTCTTAGACGCTGACACTGAACCAGCGAATGAGCTGTCTTCCTGTAGTAAGCTTGCAGCTAAGTCTCTTTGTATAGACATACTTGATTCAAGCTTCCTCTCTAACGTGTCGATTTTCCAGGAAAGGAAGTGCAACTCGTCGAGAATCTTTTCGTCACTGGCCATCTTTCGCGTGGGAATGAGATAACTCTGCAATCCACAAATACTCAAACCAGCTATAAATATTCATCTTCACATAAAGTGATCGTCTTTCGATAACCTAAACTCTAAAGGTAAACGATCTTTTTCGCTGTACCAGATGCGCATTTCTCAAGGTAGTGTGGCATTATTTCCAGTCCACATCTATGACTGCGATTGCTGAAGTCAGAAAGATCATAGTGGACGCTGGCTTTGATCCTCATGGGACACATACAGCCCTCTCATTGTGACGACCACAGTCATGCGCGGTGATGTGAAATAGATTAGCGCTGAAAGAAAGGAACGTGTAAATTGAACTACAAAAGGCATTTACACATACCCGATTGTGGTGTTAAGCTGGTCTTTCCCTCTCGTCTAGAGTTCCTTTTGTCAATTCTAGCATGTTTTAATATGAGATGTATTATCGGAAAGCTGTATTTTCCTTCAGAGTGGCTTCATGTTGCTATCGATTGTCGACATTCAAAGGTTTAAAATAATCCTCGTCCATCGTCACCTACTTGTGAAGTATAAACCGGCTACGAAACCAACGTGACTGCTTCAAAACACTGTTCTGTAAAATAGACAAAACAGTAGTTAATGGATTATTAGGGAAATGAAGTTTCAAGAAGTTGTTCAGTTATTCACCATTTATCCGTAGCGAGAGACCGAGTGACAGGAAATTGATTTAAAACTCGCATGGAACAACCTTCACTCCCGCCCGGAAAAAATCGATAGTCTAGATAGAATTTATTGTTATTAGTAGCTCAAAGATATCTCCTACTCCTCTCATTGCGCTTCTTTTAAAAAGGTTAAAAGCTGCTAAATACCGCGGTCGCGCACCATGTGTGGTCGAACGTTAGATGTCCGTAAATCGACTTAAAGCAAATATTTCCAAAATTGAAAAGATAAAATTTGACTGTAATCAGGCGTCGATATCGTAACCTGAGATAGTCCAAAAAGATAACTCCTGAATCAACGGTTCGCACAAGATACTATGAGCTCAGATTTACGAGGTATGTAATAGTAAGGTGTGACTCAGTAGACCGTTACACAAGGTTATCTGAATGGTTGACTAATGGCGCTGCTTGTGGAATCTTTGACTGTATTTGGTGACGTCTGCATTAATGTAGCTCTGCTAGTTATCACTCATCGAAACAACGTACGAACAGTCCTTTGAGCCGAATAATACCAAGTGTTTAAAACCACGAATCTCGTAATAACTATAACATCTGTGATCAAATCTACTTTTTGCCACGCATTATTTTTAGTTAGCTGACATAAGGAAAAGGAAGACAAAATTCATTGAAGACAGTTCTGACTTTGCTTGAAAATTCCGGAATGTCGTTATCTTACACCATACTGAAAACCGCAGATTAACTGCTAAAAACACGAAAAGAGCATCTGGTAAGATTAACATTAGGGAATGATAATGAGGTCATCAAACGATCACGAAAAAACGTGTGTGATGCAAATATCTCATTTAGAAGCCGTAAGAACATTTTAAGTCCTAAGATATCTTTTTGGCCTGGTACAACCCCTCGTTTGCTTGACCGTTCACGTTTAATGCAAAGGCCACTGTCTCCTATGGTGACTCTTTGCTAATGACACACTTTCTAAATGATACTTCCCGTACTGAAATTTAGGCCTTTCATTTGCAGTTTGCATTTATAATGAGCTTTTAATTGGGTCAAAGTCGTTTTTTTTTTAATCTATCCATCCACTTGCTTATAGCTTGAGACCCTTAAGATCTAAAACGAGCACGATCAAGAGTATAACAGACTAGCCAACAAGCTCACCGAAGAATTAGCCTGCGCGAGCCTGCTCTGTCCAGGCGACAATCGTGGCAATTTGCTCTCAGCCTAACAGAAAGAATGAGTTTGCAAAAATGGAGCAGCGGCAGAAACAAGGTCCTGCTACCTAATGTCTATTGTAAATTTTTACCTTTCATCTTAATTATACCATAATTATATAATTATGGTATATGTTATTCTTTCTTTCAAGTTGGAGTCTACGGTCTAATGATGCATAACCGCAAAGAGAATGAGCACTATGAAGCCTCACAAGGAAACAAGTTTCTCAGTGCGCATTCCACCAACAAAATGAGCTTAAATCTCAAGTTCTGGTAATCAAACTCGTCAAAGAATCGAAAGCTCTCTACTTTACGGTTCGTTGGAGCTTATCTCAGTAGGTAAAATGTACGGCACTTCAGAACAAGGACTGCCCGGAAACCATCTCAATATAATCTCGTGTATTTCACAGTTAGCACCTTGACTACAATCCTCAACATTTGTTCTATTTGGAAGGAAAGAAAAACTGGGGTGACGACATTTCACCGCCGGTTTCTCGACCTACCAGAGGAGAATGTTTCCCATTATGACAACTTATTCATTAACTCATATCGTTGTTGTCATATCAGATGATTCTAATGTATGCGCCAAATATTCAAATATTCAGAACTGGTTTATCAAATTTCACTTCGACTTTTGATAGCTTGCGAATTCAGTCACTTTGTTTTCGCCGCTTAGATACTTATAAATAAGAGCTGGACTGACGGTCAATGATGAATTAACTACACTTCATGCAAGGTTATGCACGGCTAGTCGTGCGTTAATTAAGGAGTTTGTACTATTTCCTTACAGACATCACCTAATTATCAGCCAAACGAACGACCATGATTAGGTCGAAGGCCATTGTAGGTAACTTAGCCGTGTACCTAATCCAATAGGGAATGGAAATTCAAAATATGCAAGATGACACCGGATAATCAAAAGCAATGTACATACTTTAATCTTAAACCGTCCACTGAGACAATCATTAGCACATTGCTAAAAATTCTCAAAATATCGCGAATATCATTCGAATAATCCAATATACTCCTTTGTTTTTGTCTTGTATGAATAAATATCCTATTTTTGACGATAAACCAAGAGCTTATCCGCCAAAAAAAAAAAAATGAAACTACTCGACTTTGCTGCATGGTCTTTCGTCTGTTATATTTTCAGTCTCAAATTAAAGAGACGACAAACGCTTGCTACTTAGTTGCCAATTGCTATATGATGATAGATTCATTTCAACTGGAAATTAAAGCAGTGTTTCTTGTACCTATATTAAGTGTTCCAATATTCATTTTAATACCAAAACACATTTAAATTTTCTAGCTTTGAAACCGCTTTCATGCAGAGAAAGTTTGTTTCCCGTTATTAATTATAATCAATTTTGCAAGCCTAGTCTTATTGACACTGGCTCGTCGGAGCTGACACAGTTATTAAGATGGTTAGGTATGGATTGAGAAACTGTACCCTTGCCATTCAGTCGTGGTACACGTTCATCAAAATTGAAAGTTAAAGGTAATTGTTGAAAATTTCTTTTATAAAATTAATTCACCGGCAACTGATAAAATATTGAGAAAAAATGATAATGTCAAAAACAATAATAAAAAATATATATGTTAATATCTAAAAAAAGGCACACGTGTTGATTTTAAGATCAATTGTTTCTTTCGAAAGAAAATTAGAATGCAGAATATATTCATGCTCAGGAGTGTAAACAATAGGCACGTTAAAGGAACAATCGTTTACTTTGCCAAAATTTGTCATTATAATATATTGTTTTCGTATAATACATCTTTATTTTCAGGAAGAAAATAACAATAAAATACAGAGTCGAAAACCCGAAAACATGCATTAGTAGTTTCTTTTTTTTATCAACCAATAAAACGGCTTTGACGCTATTGTAAATCAAAAAACCGAGCGGCAATTTTGAGCTATATCAGGAGTGCGAATATCGTTCTTGTTAAACATTGGCCTCGAAAGATCGATAACAGCTCTTCGACAAAGTCTGAACGTTTTCATAATCCTGTAATCGTTGGTTTGTGTACTCTGCTACGCTAGCTCCTGACTCGATTAAAAGCACAATACACTCAAACTGGCGCATTGAAATCGCCAGATTTATAGCTGGGCGATTTGCGGAGTCTCTCAAATTCACATCAGCCGAATGACTCAGTAGGACTCGAACACATTCAACAGCTCCGCGCTGTACTGCTCGATGAAGCGGGGGAAGTCCGCGTGCATTTCTACTTAAATTGACATCTGTCTTGTAGATCCTTATTATTTCAATTAATTCCTTCGACGCATTTTCCTCGATAGCAGAAAACAAAAGAACATCAGCGGGAAAGGAAACTTTTTTCGATCCCCGATCAACATCGCGTTTACTGGTTCGGAAACCATTACACAGAGATAATTGCTTTTGTCTACAATTCAAAATACACTTATAAAATTTCTTAGGAGTTGACGTCCATTCTCTTTCTATTTCCTTCTTTTCTCTGGAGAAGAATTCAATTTTGTGTTTGGCTTTGAAGCTCGTTAGTTTATCGATGTCATTAAACCATTTTCCTGCAGTTGCACTCGTATCGTCTGAGCCATCTAGGATTTTTCTCACGTCGTTTTCTTGTCCATTCGTGTGTGACCTAGCGAGTGAAACCTTAGAACAATCGTCTTTAACTGAATTATTCAACCGGTGCTTAAAATTAGGTGAACCGTTGCCTTTTCGACGAAAGCATAGTTTCTCGCTCACCACAACAGGCATGTTCAATGGTAGAGTGATGGTTTGTGTTCCTTTAGTTTTATGCGCTGGAAGAGATGTGTATTCAATTCCTTCCTCAAGATAGTCCGATTGACGAACCAAGTCGGCGTCGAACTGCTTCAGCTGAAATTTCAGAGTTGATAAATACGGTGGCATTGTTGTCCTGTCGTCGCTATCTAAGTCTTTAGAGTTCACGTCTCCCTCTGGCGGAGTATTCCCTGACTTGTTATGAATCGTAGGTTCCACTTTTATTGTTCTGGTTGTGCCTTTGAGGAGCGGCATTCCAATATAAGTTTCCTTTCCCTCGATATAGCATTCATAGTTGACAATCATCAAATTGTAATAAATGTAAAAACCAGAAACGCATTATTCAAATGTAGCTGCAAATGATCCTGAGGATCTGTCAGTTTCCATTTACTTAAAACCTCTGTAATCACTGACCAGCTGCATTTGCTGTTCCTTCCTTCAGTCCGAAGTCTTTCGATATTTCACACATAGATATCAAGTTCCTAAATTTCATAATGTACGTAAATAGACTTCCTGTCTTGTCACTACAGCTCAACTGATCAAAATGTCACGTTAACCGGCCTTCAGTGAACTTCTTACCAGCTTATGTTCGCCATTCTGTTATCCTACTTGAAATATGCAAACAACACAAATCACGAGTGCAGCAGGTTATATTGTAAATTAATGATATTTCCCAAGGGATGAGTTGTCATTTAACAATTAACATAAATGTCAATAATATAAGAACACTGACGGTTTAATTTGAGGGAGCAGACCCACACACTTCTGACTTGTGTTTAACTTAAACAGAATGCGCAAGATATGTGAAAGTTTTTATTCATCCAGGTGTTTTGATGCGGTTACTATCAATCGCTTTTTCTTGTGGTTGTTCCTTGACAATTAGTTGAAAATGGATGGAGTGACCAGTGTGCGTGATTAACACTTTGGGCGTGTTGGATGACGTTATTTAGTTGTCGATAGGCGTGACAGCTGTGGCAGCTTTTCGGTGGAAAGTTTCCGAAATTTTTGTGGCGGAAATCGGTTTTTTTCGGTTGAATAACAGGTCGACTCGAGTTTATCTCGAAGCGCTGGAAACTAATAGAGAACTCATTTGTTATCTTCCAGTGAAACCACGCGAGACGAGAATGCCACGTGCGCGATGGTCACGTACGAACTTTCAAGTAGTGAGAGCGTGGTGACAAAAAAGGTGTCAATGAGGTCATAATGACGGGGATAATAAGGCTGAAAATACCACATGCTGGCAGCGGGTACGAAAGTAAGATTTGTTTTTTTCGTCTAAGAAATTAAGAAGCAAACAACTCTCACCGGGAGGAACCGCACGGAAAAAAATAAATTTTTCTTATCGCCCTACAGACTTGTCTATCACTAAGTAGTTGAATGGATGACATTCAAGATTGTCGATTAGCCGCAAATCGTAGAGGCTGTCTGACGGATTTGCAGTCCGCCCAGGGCTACAACAATTTGGAAAACTCAGTGACATTTGGAAAGCAATGTTTTTCACTTGCCGCGAGTGTGAGTTGCAACACCTGCATATCAGTACTCGAGAAATGAATTCGAGCTGTTCTCAACAGGCAGTATTAATCTGTGGTATTGAACTGAAAGTTCTGAGTATGTCACAGAATTGCGGTGGCAACAACTGCCGCTTATACCACAACCGGCCGAGTATCTTCTACGCTAGTTGGCGTTTAGATATTGACAAACTGCTTTACTCAGCCGACAGCTCAGAACACACAAGTGACTGACGGCAATACCAGTTTCGGGAGAAAAGGCCGTCTGACTCCCATCGTTTAATGCACCCGCCTGATTTTTTTCGCACCCGCTATTTCACTCGAGTCCACCGACCAGGAGCCTGGTAAAGGTGCGATTGAAATGAAAGCTCTTTATTTTTTGCAATCAATGACAGCTGATACTTGCATTAAACAGGATAACAAAGATTGTCCGAAGTTATTCACACGAACCAACACTATCTGTACCGCAAAGTCTTTATTTGATGAAGTATGTTAATTAAATTGCTTAACTTTGTTGGGTCTTCTTTCTTTGATCTTAGACAATTCATCATTCTCGTGATAATAGCGGTATCATGACAAAGAAAATTGCTTTTTTCGGTACTGAGATTGTATTTGATATTAGTATGTCTCTGCTCAAGCGAATCTAAATTTACTTGACATCAGGAGAATGCATACTATTTATATCGCTTCTATCTGGATGCTGTGCGATTTCAGGGTTTTGGCGCCATATTGGACTAGCTGATTGGTCTCGATTAGATGCGAGAGCTTTGAATCCCGCCGGCGAACCGAGTTCCCGCGGGTTGACTCGCCTAAGCCTTTGGATGCCATAGGAGAATATGTGGACATGAGCTAGATCGGACACAGTGTAATTTAGTATTATCAACTGAGTTGATAACGTTAATTGGCCACCGTAAAGAGTTTTCTTCTAAATAAAATAAGTGAGATACTAAAAGTGCCCTGATTGGTCGAGAGCCTATCGTTGATTGCACCGAAACACCTGAAGAAAATGCAGACATCTAAAGTTCATTCTATAAAAGAAATACAGTAGACTGTGCTTTCTGTAGGTTTACCGGCATAATAACCCACTTGAGATTTTAGGCGACGACAAGGAAAGTTTGTAAATTACCTGCCGGAGAATCCCGTGTCGGTTGTTACGCCAGTAAACCGACAGAAAGTCTACTCTTTTGTTTAAAGAAACTATAAATTTTTCTAGATAAAGTTAGTATCCAAATTATTAAATAAAGAAAACTGAATGGTGAAAGGGTGGATATTATTGGGAATTTATTTTTAATGTCATGATGGATGAGTTTATCTTTTCATCTCGCATAGCACTGGGTACCAGGTCATCTCATATTGATAGGCAGTGGAAAGAAACTTGCTTGGGTGTAGTAATTAAAACCTGATCTACATCAATCAACTACATTCTGAGTGTACTTCCTTCTTAATTGAATTGTGTCGTTATTTTATCAAATTTTATTCTTAAAGTTGATCTTGAACACGAGAAAAATATGTTCAAGATCTGCAATTACACCTATTGAACCTAATCACACTGGATATATATATAAAATGTCACTGAGACACGCATGCAGTGGAATCTCTACTTAGAAAGAAATGATTCACGTGATTAGTGTAATTTATGTGCACTAACAAAAGGCATTAACTTCATCGAGTACTCGGTGTCAATGAAAACAGGGATGCACAGTTGTTGCATAGTGACAAATATAACAATGTTTTAGTCTCATTACGATCCATGACGATTTTCTTTTCTGCCTCTAGCTTCACATGGTTAAACTAGGAGACAAAAACAAAACAGTTCCAACATCATAAAAGTAGACTACAACCCATCTTTTCATGGAGGTACGGATTAATTAAGTTTTCAGTTTGAGAACTGACTTGACTTTGAATTCACTTTGTTGGCCGTCATTTTTCAGTACTCAAACAAGCGATTTATCTCTGCGGCGCCAATGTTTAGTTGCACCGACTTTTACTCAGATATTTTCCACTACAAACTCAAAACAAGAAAAATTAGAGTTCCTGAGCTCTTTTTTCTCGTAAGCGAATTAACAAGTACAAACCAACATAATGAGGTATTTTTGGTCGGCTTTTACTGACTTGAAAACAACGTTTTACCCTAATGCATTGATCACTGCTAAACAACCTTAGAGGAGGTAATCGCATGGGACCGAGTAAAATTAAGAATTAATTTCACCAGTGTTTTCAGAAGTTGAAGAAATTGCACGAGTCACGCAGGAACAAGGGCAATTTATGCAACTTCTGAAAACACAAGTGATACCAATCTCTAATTTTACAAGGAAACATGCGATTACTTTTTCATGATAAAAAGAGCAAAATATTATTTAATTTATAAAGAAGATCAACTATGCACGCTGTTGCACACGTTCGTAGGAAGTCATTCCAGCGTTCAGTAAGCATCAATGAACTGTAAAACGCCCGGATCAGCTGAAAAAATTCTATTTTTGTGCAACAACATCAAAGCAAATGAAAGTATATATTTTTTAGGCAAAGTTAAGTTGTTTTTAATGTCTTCTAAATTATGGTAATTGACCATGGGCAATTACAAAATTATGAAAAATGCTTCTGCCTCAGCCAATCAGCATTAAGTAATTCTGCCTTTTATCTAAGTATATTAATCAAAACGTCGAGTGGGGCTAAGGCGTAAAGTACAGCTTTACCAAAAAAAACAAAGCGCTGATGTCCTTTAAACTGAGCTAGGTTAGCACTGCTCAGTTAAAATGGCTATGTTGTTTTGCTGTATCATTTTAAAGCTTATTGTTCCTACCTTCACAGCCGTAAATTTCTAATTTGGCGCCAATATAATGGTACCATTGAATGGCTCGTAGTCTGATGTACCTAGCCTCGATGGCCTGAGGCAAAAACTTCCTGCTTATTTCTGCCCCCTGGGTTTTGTAACCATCAAACACCTGAAAGATGAAATGGAATTAAAAAACTGCACTTTGCATATCATGTAATACTTGCGTTCTCTGGTTGCAGGATACCATCTTTTTACATTTAATATCACTTCAGTCACCTCTTTGAGAGGCGATCGGGTGGAAAACTGTAGACGAACCTACATAAACGGCACTGTATCAAGCAGTCAGTTTTCTTGACCCCCGAAATGTCTACCCATAATCACTGTTCACCCTTTTCAAGCGCTCCCCTGTACCGGTGGAAAACTGCAGAAGAACCTACTCAAACGGCACCGTATTAAGCGGTCAGTTTTCAAACTCCCAAAATTTTTACCCTCTAAACACTACTCCACCTTTTTCAAGCGGTATCCTCTATTAAGCGGTCGAGGTTACCCTTGACTGGGTCCCCGACGGCTTATTTGTTATTGTCCTCCACCTGTACTGAACGGTCACTTAAAGCGGGACCAATTAAAAAACAAAACAAAACAAAAAACTAAAAACAGTCTTTCACGTAAAGTTTAATTTATGTTTAACTCCCGAAATCAACGTTGGTAGTATTTTTGAGGGAGGTTTTGCACGTTAAGTGATCAATAATGGCATAAAATGACGTTTCTTATCGTTTCTTCATAATACCCCCATTCTATGGAACCTGTAGCAGCGGTCACCTCCACATTCCCCGTTTTTACCGCTTAATAAAGGAAATGTACAGGGAAACGACCTCAAACTATGGAGCTAATCTGAAGAAAGAGTAGCTGGGGAATAGACTGAAACAAACTGAAACCCATGATAGAGCGACAAAAATAACAGCTTCTCAGAGGTGACTCTCACAGCAACGGCATCTTTTAGATGTTCTCAAAAAATGACAAACTGCAGAATATGTGTGCATTACTTGTACTAAGAGTTTGAAATTTACCTAAAAGCCGGCCAAAAGAGTAACTGGTAAAATGCATAAGTATCACGTATCAACTCTCCTAGCCTCTTAGTAAGCAGGAAGTTTGTCACAATGGACTTAGCCAAACGGCATAGCTTGCCTCAAGTCTCCTGTAGCTCAGTGGTAGAGCTTCCAAAGTGTTTTTAGAAAGGTTATCGGTTCCCAATAAGGGCAATCGGATTTTTTTTTTCCTCCGAATGTGCCTGTGTCATTCACTGAATAACATCTTCTTCCACTTCAATAATCAGGCTTGATATTAACTACTGTGACCATCTTCATTTCCATCATCATTAAGCAAAAGCGCGATATTCTCATCTTCGCAGTACGCCGGAACTTTGCCACCACGAACTTAGTAAAACGACTAACTCTTGCACTAATCTCTTATAGTTCACCTGGCTTAAAAATTTAACATCTCTGTTATCATCATTGTGCATAAGCATAACACATCTCACCTCGCAGTATTCTGGGAGTTTTTCCACTATGTACGTTATTTTAATAACCTATGGGAGGCTGTGGTAAGCCGTACCATTTAAAAACGGTAAAGGTTACCACAGCCTCTTACAGCTTAGTGATAGAGCGTTAGAAGTTTTATTTTTATCTCCGAGTATGACTGTGTCGTTCACTAAATAATATCTTCCTTCGCTTAAATCACCAGACTTATTTTACCAATTTCATTCGCATCATCATTGCATATAAGCACCACGGTGATAAACGGTCTGAAGTACTGATTGAACGGTGATAGATCGTCTGAAGTACTGATTAGACGGTGATAGAGCGTCCGAAGTACTGATTGAACGATAATTCTCAGCGTCTGAAGTACTGATTGAACGGTGATAGATCGTCTAAAGTACTGATTGAACGATGATAGAGCGTGTGAGGTACTGGTTGAACGATGATACTGCGTCTGAAGTACTGATTGGACAGTGATAGAGCGTCTGAAGTACTAATTGAAAGGTGAAAGATTGTTTGAATTACCGATTGGACGGTGATAGAGCGTCTGAACTTCTGATTGGACGGTGATAAAGCGTCTGAAGTACTGATGGGACGGTGATAGAACGTTTGAGGTACTGATTGGACGGTTGTAGGTTCGAATCCTAATGGAGGCTCTCGGAGGTTTTTTTCTTTTTTTTCCTTTTTTTGTTTTAATTCCGATTGTATAATTCACTGAATAACATCTTCTTTAACTAAAATCACCAGGTTTAAAGATATACCATCTCCATTCACAAAAGTATTAATTATCGAAAGTCCTATCCTCGCCGTATCCTGGAAGTTTGTCACGATGGACCATGTTTTGCGGCCTAGATGGCCACTAGTTTCCTATAGCTCCGTGATAGAACATCCGGAATGCTAATCTGAAGGTCGTAGGTTCGAATCCTGGAAGGAGCACTTCAAGTTGTTTGTTCTTTAGGTATGCCGGTGTCATTTATTGACACTGGCATACTCTTTGAGGGATACTACTATATAAACGGCGCATATTACCGATTGATATGACCTATAAATCCTCGAGACGGGCTCAGTTAAAATATATATTACTACTTTGCTCGGTCTGTACTTTAATTGATTGTTATTTCCCCTTTTTGTTCTAGCAATACTGTAACTCACTTTCCGTTGCCCTTCAAATATGTAGTCCATCCAGTTGGAGCTATCGTTGCTGTACTGTAGGTAATACTCTCTTAAACGAGAGTCCTCCTCCATGTTAGGATTTCCTTGAGTTGAAATAGCTGCAATAGTTTTTCTTTTGCCTAAATCAACCTAGAGAAGAAAGAGAGCTTTTACATACCTCTTGTCGACCCTCGCCGAGAGATCGCGGGCCTTCTTAGGTAAACAGAATATGGTAGAATTGGTATTAATTGAGTGGGAAACTGGCAAACCATGATGTTTTTACCAAAAATCTTTAACTATTACTTCGTTCATTTTTCCCTTGAAAACAGCTGCTACGAAGAAATCGATTGACATCCGATAAAAGAGTTCAACTGATCGTAGTGCAAAGTTTGCAGGTGTAGTTTCCTTTAAGCAGTCAAGTTTGATAACATCACGACGTCAAAACAATGCGCTTGTTCAGAACTCGGTTAGTTTTAGGAGGACATTCGCTTTGTTCGTACATTTTGCGGTTAATTTCATATTGTATAACCCAAATTCCAAGCGTTAATAACGAGAAAACTGGCAATTTCTGATTTACGAAACTTTGATGTTCAAAGAATCGCCTGAACAGGCACCATTGAGTCATGATTTGCGGTCTGTATTCGTCACCGACCTTATTTTACATCTTTATTATAGCACTGAAATACTAGGCAATTGAGTTTCTTTTCATATTTCTGATTACCACCTGCTGAACAAATAGAGAAGCCTTGACTATGCTCTGTTCTGTTGTAAAGCACGCAGGAAGCGGCTATAGAGCACGAAAGAAGTCTAGGGACAAACACGAGATGCAGTTGAGCGTTTCTCTCCATTTCTTAAGTGCTCTAGCCGCTTTCTAAGTGCTTTACAACAGAACAGAGCACAGTCAAGGCTTATTGCTTGTTTTATAATAAAGAACCCGTAAAATTCCCTGCGCATTGTTTTCAATTTTTAAAACAAACTTTATTTTCAAAGCAAACAACAGTGTCGTCAGCATGCTCTATAATCTCATAAAGCACGCTTCAATAAGCCAATCAGAATCCTTTTAAGAATTGTTCAAATAATGTGATTTGTTGAAAGGACTAAAGCTGTCAGAATGTCAAACTATCAAACTATCACAATCTGCAATATAGTTTACAAGCTGAAATAGTTCGGAAGGTCGAATTTAACACTTTTGCCTGAAATTTTTAGTCACCAATGCAGAATATGAAAGTGAAATGTTCAGTGAAATCCGGCCGAATTCCAGCTCATCAAAACACACGGTATTTTTTCATTTAACAAATAGAGAAGCCTTGACTAAGGTCTGTTCACAAGGATATGAGATTTCTCGGGATGACAGCGCCGTAAAACTCGGCTGCTGTGACTGATGTGGCCTTCCACTTAACGCATCGGAAAGGATGTTAGAGCAAGCTTTTAGTTGTACACTCGAAGGGCGGCCGATGTAAATTCTGAGGTTTGCTTCACTGCGATGACCGGAGATCGCCATGATGAGCTGGCCGCGATGGAACTCAGCATGATCGCAGTCGCTCTGACACCGTCATGATTAGTATGAATTTCAACAGTCATCCCAGTTTGGCTTTACTTTTCATCGTTCCTGTTTCGTTCTGTTTTTTTTTTTTAACACGAAACTATATATCCCACGCGAGTGTTAGCTGTGTTTGATTTTTTCCCCCTAAGCTTGCAGTCTAACTAAGCGTGAAACCTTCAAAACTCAGAGCTTTTATTTCGTTTTCTCTTTGAGGATTTTCGTCTCTGCTCACGTTATATGACAGAAATTACGTCGCTTGACATGTTTAAAACCCGACTCACTTGTTCCGAAATTTCATTCAATCAACGAAAAAAGCTAAAGCGAAGTCTGGGAAATGTTCTGATATAGTTACAATTTGGCATATGGCGTGACAGCTTTAGCTCTCTTGCACTATGTTCTATACTCTGATAGAGCACGCTGTTTCAACCAATGACAGTGCACGTTATATCCGTACTTTATTATAAAACTACGTAGATGTCGCTGAAGATTGTGTTACCTGTAAGAACTGGTCGAGATTTTTATGTCTCGCAACCCACATTTCCATTTTGTAATATCCTAGGCGACCCCGTGTCGGTCGCCTATAATAGGAAGAGCTGGAAAAGGACGAATCCGGAATTTGGAAATTTTCTAGTCCAAGAGGCTCCAAACAAGCTGCAACGAAAATAAATAGTTTACATATGAATGAATCAGTGAAATTAAAGCCTTTTAAATGTGCTGTTGATGCATTTCATAATTGAGCTCTTTCATAATTGAACTCTTTCATAAACTGTACATCATGAGAAATTACATCACTTTTCAGGTTGTGAGAAAGAACATTTTCAGGTCATCTCTCTATCATATCGCTTATCGACTTATTTCG